CCATACGAGACTCAAGAGTTGCAAAACTGGCAAAAATTCTCATACAAATTGAGTGGATTTCATCAAGAAATTCTTTACGAAGAAAAGGACAGTTTGGTGATAAAATAAAATGGCGTTCGAGTGGATTGTCAAATGCTTTCCAATCTTCTATCAATACTTTACATTCAAAACACTTGCAAATGTCTTCAATCCCACTAAAATAAAGACCCTGCGTTGCTAATATCATGAATGATATAAACATTTTGGGCCAATGAGGCTGATACTCATTAAAAGTTTTAACTCTGTTCTCAAACACACTCATGTCAACTTTTTCTTTAGGCTTTTTCTTTCCATCCTGCTTTCCTTTTGTCGATGAAGGTGGATAAATTTTAGGTGTTTGACTAGGCAAAGGAGATTTTAATTGAAGTCTTGGTTCTATGTGTGACAAATTAGAAGGTGCTTTAGGTTTCTGAACAGCAGCTTTAGTGCATGTAGATCTACTCATTAGGTGCTGTAATGGAGGTTGAGTTAGTGCATGATCATATCTAGTTCTACTGCTGGTTAAGTTAGTGACCATCTCATCTCTTCTCTTGTTAAGTGCCATTCTACTAACTCCTTCTGACAATTGGCCTCCAACAAATGCTTCTTTCGGCCTGCTCGGGTTTTTAGGTACAGCTTTAACGTTAGCCACAATCTGTGGCCCTAGCCCTTGAACTGCCCTGGCACTTCTGTTTGCTGAATGCTGATTTGTTGCATACTGCTTAAGTTGAGAAGTAGTGGAGTCCCGTGGCTCGATGTCTTGCTGGTTTTCTGGTCTGTAAATGTAATCTCTGTTCATGATTTTTATTCCATTAGTCAGCATGCAGCTCTTTTATAATAAGATCTAGGAGGAGCCAAGCCACCTCTATATCTATATAGATTTTTATGGTCACGTGCAGACTGAAGTCTCTCTATCTCACAATATTCACATGCTTCACTGCTTCAGGATACCTTCTGCCTGGTTTTAGGCTTGAGACTAAGCTATTTAATGTTTTTACTGTTATAAGCTGGGCTAGTCTCATTGTTTCAAATGTTTGGGTAAACAATAATAGTTATGATAGCACTAAAACAAAATACCTCAGCACATCCTGATAATGCATCAAGGTGTCTTTATCATTTGTGTCTCCCCTCCTCTGTTATCTTTTCTCTGCTACCTTGTAAAATCTATTATTATATTAAATTAAATTAAATCTAATGAAACAAGCAAAACTGATGCTCTTGTAGCATAGCAGGAGTTAAAGAGGTAAAGATAGTTAAGATTATTAAAGTTAGAAGAGGCTCATGCACATGCAGCCATGCAGTGGCTGAAGTAATATCATATCACATGCTTAAACTGAAAGTATATACAAGAACAAGCTGGCACAAAGGTTTGCAGTCATTGCCATTGCTTTACTAGTCTGGATGACATCCACTTTCAACTTGGATACGTGCATGCCACTCTCATACTCACAAACAATCAGTTACTATAAAAGGAACTGCTTTTCACTATTAGAGACACAGAAGACAACAATAGTCAATCATGAAGCTCATCTTTCTGACTGCAAGTGTGCTTTTTCTCATTACATTGACTAAGGCCTCAGAGCTTGAAGGCTTTGAAGACTTTGAAGAGAGGAACGATATTGATCAAAGTGAGGCTGATGATGCTTTGGCTCCAAAAGCTGCAGCAACAAGTCTGTGCAGCATTGATATGAAGGCACTCAATGCAGTAATAAACAAGGCCATTGATTCAAAATTTCAAAATCAGCCAGGTATGGGCAAGTAGCACTTAATTTGTTTTACCGTACATTGCTTTTAAATCAATTGTAGTGAGTCAGATTTTCAACTGTGGACTGATGTAGCCAGAAATTTGAATATCCAAAAAATAAATGGAGGGACACTCCAGGCTGAGGGCAAGATACTTGAGAAAATTGCAATTGGAAGTGGTACCGCTGCTAAAAATGGTGCATATCTGGCTTATCGACCGAAATACAATGCTGATCATAAAACTGGTCTTGCAGGGGGCCATATTTATAAACCTCGAGAAGCTATTCCCATGTGCCAAGTCAGCGATTCGTCCTATATGCAGCAGGTCCACATTTGAGGAGGATGGATTCCTGAAAGGAAAGGCACTCATCAAAGCTGCTGATTCTAGCAATAACCTAAAAATCTTTGGCAACAACATCAACACCTACGGGATTGCAATTCAAGGCTGTTCATATCTTAATGGATATAATGGCTGCCTTCCTAAATATTATCAAGTGACCATTGTTTGTGAGCTGCCGGATGCCAAGGGCTTGCATCTGAATGCAATTACAAGAACAATGAACAATTGTTAGCAGTATATATATATATATATATATATATATATATAGTTAGAATAGAATAGGCTTAGATCTAGAGTTTGAAGTTGAGAATAAATATATTTTTGATAATAATTAACATTTTTTGTAAATAAAAATTAAAGCTAGAAAATGATGAGCACAGACTACAGTGTGCAAATTTTAGTGCATTGCTATCATAGACACAGCACACAATGGTTACATTAACATGATTCATTGGAAATTATTAATTTTAGACATTGGCTTGCAAAACATTAAGAAAATTTTTTTTTTTAATTCTGTAGCTCAACATTAATAGGACTAAAACTTGCATCAATGTGTATATAGTGAACAAATGCATTGACAGCAAAGATTGTACAAATATGCACTGACCACTGAAAGTGTGTACAAGAACAGGTTGGCTAAAGGTTTGCAGTCTTTGCCATTGTTTTATTAATTTGGATGACATCCATTTTCGATTTGAGTACTATGCCATACTCATAGCTTAAACTGAAAGTATGTACAAGAACAGGTTTGCAGTCTTTGCCATTGCTTTACTAATTTGGATGACATCCACTTTCGATTTGATGAGTACTATGCCATACTCATAGCTTAAACTGAAACAAGAACAGGTTGGCTAAAGGTTTGCAGTCTTTGCCATTGTTTTATTAATTTGGATGACATCCACTTTCGATTTGAGTACTATGCCATACTCATAGCTTAAACTGAAAGTGTGTACAAGAACAAGCTGGCTAAAGGTTTGCAGTCTTTGCCATTGCTTTACTAATTTGGATGACATCCACTTTCAACTTGGATACGTGCATGCCACTCTCATACTCACAAACAATCAGTTACTATAAAAGGAACTGCTTTTCACTATTAGAGACACAGAAGACAACAATAGTCAATCATGAAGCTCATCTTTCTGACTGCAAGTGTGCTTTTTCTCATTACATTGACTAAGGCCTCAGAGCTTGAAGGCTTTGAAGACTTTGAAGAGAGGAACGATATTGATCAAAGTGAGGCTGATGATGCTTTGGCTCCAAAAGCTGCAGCAACAAGTCTGTGCAGCATTGATATGAAGGCACTCAATGCAGTAAT